AGGTGAAGTTCTCCAGAGGAAGCCCTTCTCTCCTGACGTACGCAAAGAGAGGTTAGATGAGTAGGGGACTAATAAGAAAGACCCCAAAGAGACCCTTCGTGGACCCTTTTTCTGGAGGCTCTACATATTTTGGTAGTCAGTAAAAATATGCAAATTTGATATTCATCGGAGGAAGCTTTTTTTTTTTTTTTAAATATTATACAGGTATTTGGTGGCAAGTCTGATCGGTAGATTATGTCATTTCAGCAAAATATTGTGATGTCCTTTAGACTCTCCATTTGAGCTGTCTGTATGTCTTAGAGCTCTTTTTTTTTGTTTGTTTTTGTAATACAAGAACTCATTGCAAATAGCTGAGGAGTCCACATTCCACAAAGAATGCCTGAAATACTTGTTTAATATAAGTGTTATAGTTCTGACTGGATTGTCTTGCTTTCAAGATAAATCTAACTTTAGTTTAAGCTTTAGTTTCTTAATTTTATTCTAGAGTGTGCCCACAACTCTTATTTGTTCTTAGTTTTTGCTTAATTATTTCATTGAGACATAAACTGTTGCACCAGAAGTGTAATTCCATGATTGTTTGGTCTTTTTGTTGCCTGTGTTACTTGCATGCAGGTGTATTATCACGTAAAAAGGTTTGCATGCAGCTTGTCAGCTCGGCTTTAGGTGGTATAAACCTACATCTCTGTATGTTACAAGGTGTGGCATTTGTGATTATTCATCTACTACTGAAAACAATCTTTTAGTTTCAGTGTTGAAAACAGGATTTCTTAAACAGAACAAAAACTTTTAATGTTTGTGCTGTTTTGATATAACCTTTCTTCCTGATGTCAGTAGGAAACTGAGTGTGGAATACTTGTGTGCTGTTATTAGCAACGCTGTACAAAAGAAGCGAAGCAGTCTTTGTAAAACTACACTAGAATTTCTATATTTAGTGAGACACATCAAGAATCAAGTACAAATTAATATTAAAGAAAATAAACATAGTTATAGCCTGTATTCTTCTAATTTTGTGCACTTCACAAATAAAAGCATTGGATTTTTTCATACTTTGAAGTGTTTCCACAGCTTCTGGTTGATTTAACTTTTCTGTTCTGAATAATTTTTGAATTTCTGAGTTGTTACTTCAGTGCTACTGTCCCAAAGATAAGAATAACAGGAATGAGAATAACCTAAGAATAACATTCAACATAACAAAAAATACCATTACAATATTTTTTCAGTAGTTCCTTAGCTGGAATGGAACAGTATAAAATAGCTCTGGTGCTTTACTAGTTTAGTATTTGTGTTAATTTGAAGGTCTCTGTGGTTTCGTGTAATGCGGTGTAGTTGGCTTTACATTTAGTTAATAATAATAGGAAAGCAGTTATGGTTGTTACTCAAACTTAGATTTTCTTATGACAGTGGAGGCATAGTGTCTTGTATATAGAAATGAGAACTGTATATACAAAAGAAAAACTTGCTCTTTTTGTTCTTGCAGTTTTTCAGCCGTGGGCCAAATGTGTTGCATCAAGAGAGCAGTGCACCGCAAGCTACATTCTTTTCACCTCTTCAAAAAGTGATGTTGCCACCGCATACATTTCAAGGGAAAGTGGCTTTTATAACTGGTGGAGGAACTGGGCTTGGCAAAGGGATGACAACAGCTCTCTCCAGTTTAGGTGCCACATGTGTTATAGCAAGCCGGTAAATACTAATGAACACATTTTAGAGCTTTAATTTAATGCTGAAGGCTGAATTGATCTATTTGTCCAGCTTTGAAGAAGAAAATAAGAAAACTTTATGAAGAAGTATAGAAAATAATTTCTTCTATTTATTTCAGTAAACTTTAAGTTATAATGTTACAATATAGTGTTATATTATAAATATAGAAAAACTGCTGGTATATCTACAAATATCTAACTCTAAAATCCCTGTTATGGTTAGGTCTGCTGTGTAGCCAGCAGTAGGAAGAAACAAACTAGAAAAATCTTACGTGAAAAGTGGCAGTAAAACAAACAACCCAAAAAGTTAAGACGTAAATTCCACAAAGGCATAAAATAGAACAAAAAATTGAAATGGACGTTATTAATCATTTTGAATTTATTACTGCAGATGATCCCTGTATGGTAAGTTTTAACTGCAAGAAATAATTGAAGCCATTCCTTTTAATTCTTAAGACTTTGGACAGCTATATTTTTCCCTTAATGGAGATAATTTTTCTAAAATTGTGTTGAGTAACATCACAGTAAAGAAAATCTGTCTAATTTTTAATTGAAATAAAAGCATGGTGATGTTTTTCCGGATAGTGATTTAGATATTTATTTTAAGTCTCAGTATGTATCTCCTTTTTAAAATGCTGGTAGAGTAGTAGCTAAAATTAAGTTCATGCATACATGCTTGCTTGCTTACTGCATTTGACTAGCATAAAATACTCTCATTGTTGTCACTTTTGAGTGGCTTTTCAGTAGCAGTAACCAGGAGAGAGGACTCAAGATTTGGGTAATTTTCTTTCAGAAAATTAGTAACTATGTATAAGTTTTATTTTAAAAGTAAGATTTCACTAAACTCAGCAATATGTGCATGCACACGCACAAATGACATCTTAAGTTTTAGCTCATATTTGTTCAGAAAAAAAGTCATATTTCAGATTGTATTGATTGGGATTGAAATTTATTTAATTGAAATCCAGTGATATGTTGTGTACTTGTTTCTAGGAATCTTGATGTTTTGAAAGGAACAGCAGAAGAAATTTCTTCTAAAACAGGGAATAAGGTAAACTTGGCGGAATTGTGAATATGTTTTATTTATTATAATTAAAGTATTGTTCAGTTTTTATGCATGTATATGCATCTGTGGGTTGTTTAATTTATGAACGTCTTGGAAGTCTTACGGCTATCTTTCCGTTATTGTATAGGTTTATCCAGTCCAGTGTAACGTGAAAGATCCAGTTTCCGTTAAGAATGCTGTTGCTGAACTAATCCAAGTGGCAGGACATCCTGATGTAAGTGTTCTAGTTAAAGGGAGGAACTTCAGTCTTCATTATTGAAAATACTCTGCATACTAGATATGAAGAAAACTAATATTGTAGAAAAGCAATGGTATCTAAAGACACACTAGCCAAAAAGTGGCAGTACTTCAAGATAAAGCTGACATTGGCAGTTGTACTGTCTGCTCTGTTCCCGTAGTTACTTAAATACATAATGGCCAAATAGGCAGAACATTGTTGTGTTTATTTTAAGGACTAACAGCTTCTCTGTAAGCAATGGGTGTCACCGTTTGTTGTGATCTCTCAAACTTACAGCACAGTGTACTGTGTGAAACAAACTATTTTTAGGCTTTTTGCGTGAGCTTGATGTATTCATACCTTCCGGCTCGGAAGTTTGGTCTATACCATCCCTAGTGGTTGTTTTGGTTACTAGGCAAGAATGTGCTTAATTCCAAAGAATTTTAGTCTTAGCAGGTGTTAACAAGCAGTTGCTTATAAAACTGCAAGGATAGCAGAGCTTATTCTTTTTTGTCCTTGAGTATCTGGCGTCTGGAGTGTGTGGGGGTTTGGGTTTGGGTTTAGCCTAATGGTGCTGCTCCCAGCATACATCAGGAACGTTGGCACGTATGCCAACATACAGCATGAGCTATGTGTTAGGCCCAGAGCCTGAGCAGGAGTCGAGTGAATGGTCTCAGATGGGACAGCTATGATGGGATTCTTTGAATTAATTAAGTGAACAATCAGGAGCTAAGCATTTTTTAATAGTTGGGCACAAAACATAGAGCTGTTAACAGCCTGCACCCTAGGAAGGGTGGTGCATTGAAATCTAAGCGATGATAGGCACTAAATCCTGATTTTATAGTGATAGGAGCAACTTAGGTTCTGCTAGGAGATTAAAAACCATGACGAGGATATTAATGTTGATCTAAAGTATATGCAATGATACTTAAAACTGTTTGGCAGCTGCGTACTCTAGATGATTTGCATTCACCATATAGCTTCCTGTAGACATGAAGGAGAACTCTGAAATGTTACGTGTGGTGATTTTGAAGTGAAGAAAGTATATTTTATAGCTATGTGCTATAGCACTGCTGTAAAACTCGCTCATTGTCCTGATACATAGGCAATCAACATATTAACTCACAGTTATTCTGGGTATTATGTTTTTTGGCCAAAGTACGTCATCGTCTCCGGGTTTTGCGTGTGTAGGGAGAGGGAGGAGATTTCTCACTCTCTGTTACATTTTCAGTATACTAGTAGTTTTTTGAATAAATGTTCCTCATGTCTTGTTCTTTACAGGCATTTCCTGTTTTTTTTTTTTTTTAATTTCACATATATTGTGTATTTGAGAGACTGCAGAGTGAATTGAATATTCAGTTTTTCTATCTAGTTTTTCTCTTTTTAGTGACAGAGATGACAGGTATGTTTATGAATATTGCAAGTCTGGGTATCATTGCCAATGGGCCTATAAGGTGAGATCTCAAAATATGAAGTGAATGCCTTCTTCCTATTCCTTCCATCTTTGTTCTACCAGTTGTTATTCCCAGTTAGAAAGCGGTCATTCTTTTTTTTTGTATAGATTTCCTTGGCAATCATATTTATCTACATTCCTAAAAGATTATTTCACGCTGTTCTTAATTCACTAGGTTTATTACTGTATCTTTATCCCTGCTGTGTTTATTTAGCGATTCAAGTCATTTCCTCAGTATGTTGAGGTTCATGTGTGTTCTGTCTTTGAAATATCTAGTGTCCTTCAAACTACAGGGAGGTATTTAAATTGTATTTGCTAGCTGTATGTAGAATTTATGGCTGTTGTATCTTATTTGTGATTATATTCCTGCAATATATTCTGTGCTGCCTTTGTTATTGAAAGTTCTAATGTCTTAATTTAGCCAAGAAGTTCCTCAGGACAAAGACTTTGTTTGGTGTGTAGAGAGACGTGAATCTAAGTGACGTTCCCGAAGTAGTAATACACCGTTTTATTGCTTCAGCACCTCATGTTATTAATAAATACACAAGATCTGGCCACACTATTTTTGATTTAAAAACTGTTTTTGTGATACTTAGTCCCCCTAAAAGAATACATATAACTTGCTCGTCTGGAGGGCTAAGAAGGAGACGTATTGAAAGTACCCTCTCTCAAAGTACTGTTCGTGGAAAGGCAGCAAGACAGGTATACATCTGTTCAAAAAAGTTTTGTACTAGCCACTTGCAGTTCATGAAATCACAGTACTCTCTTTGGGACTACTGTTTGGACTTATTGGTATGCAGTAGTCAGCAAATTAGCCTTTTGTCATTGGGTTAACTGAACTTCTTTACGCTTTTATTTGTGTGCATCCATTGGCTGAAATACGGTATGTGACCTCAGAACTTGGAAGGAAGTAACTTTCCTGTTAGAATGTTGCTCTGATAGTATGGAAAATACTTAAGTACTAGAGTACTTAAGTACTAGAGCAATTAGTAAGTATTAGTAGCAGGAAGTACTAATGCTGAATAGTAGGCTTAAGAATTAATTTTAGTGTAACTTTCAGATTTTTCTTTGTGTATTTCAGGTTGTGATAAACAATGCAGCTGGAAACTTTGTTTCTCCTTCTGAACGACTCTCTGCTAATGCATGGAAAACAATAACTGATACTGTGCTTAACGGTACTGCCTTTGTAACTCTGGAAATTGGAAAGGAACTTATTAAAGTACAAAAAGGTATCTTAATTTAAGATAAACAGTAACTAAGCATTGCAACAGTCTTACTACAATCAATAGCACTCTTATTACTAGTTTTCCTTGCTATTATGTATGATAGACAATTTTGAGGAAAAAAAAAATTTAACATTTTACATCTTTTCTAGAAAGAACTTCTTTTTGAGTAAAATCATACTTAACTGTAGTACAGTGATACTGATTGGTAATTGTTTTATTGCAGGATCGACCCTTAAAATTGTACCTAGAGACCGTGAGTTTGAATGTAAGAATTTGATTGCACAATTTGTACTACTTGTAAAATATCTACAGAATTTAAAGAATAAGAGTTTGTTTAAAATGTATGCTATTATTTCTGTTCTGTTTTCTGTTCTGTATCTGTGTTGCTTTCATTAAGCAACTGAACATGTAGCGTTGTTTTAAATGAACTCTGACTCAGGAAATCGCTTTGAATTTCCATACTAGACTTAAATAAATAAATAAATAAAAATCGCAGCTGTAGTTTTGACTAAGAGCACTGGAGAATATTATCTTTAAGGTAATTTGAAAAATAAATTCAAAATTGAAATTGGTATTAGGTTTTACTTACATTTTGAACATTCTTCCTGAATATAAATTCTAATTCTAGACTAAGTGTTTAATCCAATATTTTGCCTTTACCGTAAAAATATGGTAGTTCTTTGATATTCTAGCTGACCAAAGAATTATATATACCCATGTGTATGTGTGTGTATACACACTCACTCATCCACATACACACACAGAATTACATAGACCCAGATTATCCTGTTTAGGGGAGGAATAGTGTATGCCTTTGTATGTTATGTCACATATTGCATACAAACAACTACTTTTTTCTGCTTTGTCTTCTAGTTATAAATTGAAAAATATTGAGCTTTCTTGTTTTTTGACCCGAGTGCTATCTTCTCAAGTAGCATTTAAAGCAGTGAGGTATGTTTTGATGTTCCATGTGGCCTCACTTTTCATGCCTGTTTTCTAGGTCCAGCGCAGTGTAGAAACTTATTCTTTTGTATTTTTACTATATTTCTCTTAACAACTGAATTGTTCCTCACTTCTTATGCTTGTTTTATAGGTACAGCCACTGTGTTAAAATAATCCTTTTGTATTTGCACTGTATTTTGTTAACTGGTGAATTAGTTGAGTTTCATCAAAACTTGCCTCCAAAAAAAACTCCATGTTTCATACTGGGGTTTGCACAATATTAATGATAACAACATAAAGTTAATGTTGTATATAGAGTTCTGCAAGTCTGCAACAGTTTTGGTTGGCTGACAAGATATTTCCCAAATACATTAGCAGCACATACAAGTATAATTTCCAACATTGTAGTGCCAGTTTCTCCACATTAAAATCCGTATGCCCCACTCTATCTCACTCTGTCATTATAGCAAACTATTGCAATAGTTTGCTGTATGGCCTTGCATATGCCGGCATTGTCTCCTATAGTAAAGAGAAGTCTAGCTTTGAGGTGTCTGTCTTTGCTGCTGCTGAATGAGAGCTACTCTTCTTGTCTCTGGCTTCAAGTTCTGCAAAATCCTGTCTCAGTCATTTACCTTCATTTTGTCTGTCTTCCTTTCTCTTCTAAGCTTCCAAAACACATGAATTTCTCTTGCTCTTACCTGTATGTCTTCTTTCCAGGGGATTCTGTATGCAAGACTTTGTATATAAGGCTGTCTTTAAGGCCTATTTTGCGAGTAAATCGGGTGTCACCTGCTTGATCTCTCGTTCTCCACCTTCATTTTCTCTTGCTTGCTTGTCCTTTTCCTTTGGGCAGCAAGCCCTTAGTTTCAGAAACTGTGGAAAGTGTCACTTTTGTTATAGATGCTACCCAATGCAGGTTTAATCTATCAGGATGCTATACATTTGACAGCCACTAAAACACTAGCACAAACTTTATATCGCCAGTGTGAGCTACATTAAACCTATTTTAGTAAGTAGCATAAATGTTCTGCTTTTAGACTAAATTCTTAGCGGCAGGAACTTGTCTTACGGCAAATACCTAGTTACAGTATGGTTCCAGTTTCTATTAATGTGCTTAAAGGGGGTTATATTACCAGTTACGAATTGCAGTCTGCTAGTACTTTACGTTATTTATTTATGCATTGAAGTTTTAAAAAGTGAGAGGTTAATCGTTAGATAGTGTCCTTCTAACAGATATAATGTTTAGAAATAAAAATTTTACATGACCTGAAATGTGTCTTATGACTCTGACCTTATGTAAATGTGTCAGTCATTCTGCTTTCTGTATTGAGTTCACCTCTCTTTATTTAACCTGTATTTTAAAAATTATCTCTTTTAATCTACAAAATATTCCTAGTTAACAATCAAATCTAGATAACCTCAAATTTAGTTTGTGGTTTTTGTTGGTGTTAATTTTTTCCATTCAAAGTCTCTTACTGGAGCCTCCTTTTCTTTAAATAGTGTCCATTGTTTCATGGTGTCTGCAGGCATATCTGTTAGTTCTTGTTTATGGTTCTCTTTAGGTTCTCTTGTGTAACTTAACCGTAAATCTTTAACTGAGTCTCGTGTGACTTCATTGTCACATACGTTCTATTGGTAAAGCACATAGTTTCAGAGATATCCCTTAGGTAATTATTCCAATTAATTTATTTTTAAAATATAGTAACTGGAACAGTTATTTTGGTTTCTGTGGTGCAAGTAAGTGGTGAACTGCCCTCCCTTCTTCCCCATTTCCTAGTTACAGTAAGTGCATGCTAATAATTGATCAAACAGAATTTGCAGGCTTCTGTAAAAGAGTAGTTACGTTTTTCGTTCTGTTCCGTAATGTTTTAGTTAAATCGGTGATACAACCTTTTTCTAGTAAATTATATTTTATCTTTAGAGAGAAGTTTGCTATGATAATAGTAGGAAAAAGGTTTTTTTTAAAAGTTATTCAAATTAACGTTGTCATATATTCTACTGCAGAAAAAGCAGAGAATTCCCAGAGCATATTTTTTCTGCAGTACAGTGAACTTTAAGGTAACTTCAAACCTAAGCTCTGTAATTTTCAGATTATGCCATACTTAACTTTTCATACTGATATTTTTAGTCTTTCTGGCCAGGAATTGATGAAATTGGGGGCAAAATACCTGGTTAGTAACCAGTAGGCTGAGGTAGCTTTTGAAAAGACATTGTAAGGTCTTAGGCACTTCTGCTATGTGGATTGATTGTGTTCATTGTCGGTGAAATCTCTGGGTTCAGATTGTACGAGGTATTTTGGAGCCTAACGAACACCTATTTTAATTGATGGAAAAGGGGGAATAGAAAGGAAAAGGCTTAATAGACAAACTTCCAAGAGTAGATGTTCAAAAAATCTTTTTGAAACCCAGAGTGGTTTCCCTGACACTTAAGCTGCAGATTTCTGTACTGCTGAGGTTGCTCTTTTCACTTTGAATTCAGAGTTTGAACTTTGTATGCGGTTTTTGTTTATCTACTCATTGTAATGTTTTTGCAACTTCCAGGAGCAGCGTTCCTGGCTATTACGACAATTTATGCAGAGAGTGGTTCAGGATTTGTGGTGCCAAGTGCTTCTGCCAAAGCTGGTGTAGAAGCAATGAGCAAGTGAGTAAGAGAGCAAAAACACCTTTTGTTCTTCACATCCTTCAGATGCAGTAACTGGTATATAAAAGTGCACCTAGCTGGTATACTTCACCTCGTTCCACTCTATCGTAAGAAAACCTTCCTGCCTTTGGTATCCAGGCAAGGAAGTAGTATGCTGACAGCTTCTTAAAGAAGGAAGTATTAAATGTCATTATTGTGATGATTTTTATCAGAGTGAATTTGTGAGCGTATGCATGTGTAGACACACACATAATTATTAGGAATTATTAGGAATTCTGCTTCTTAGGTGTTTCACCTGAGCCTTCTCAGTAACCTTTTAACGCTGGCAGTACTTTGGAATGGAACAGTTAGCCGAAAGTGTTGGACCTGACCATTCCTATGGTTAGAAGAGGAAAGTGATGGTGGAGTAGCATTTCTTTGATACAAGTCTTTTCATTTACAAAGACTGTAGAAAGTTCTGAATTCCTAGGTGCAACAGAAGTTGGAAAATAATTTATTACTTGGGTGTGTTTTTTTTTGTGTTGTTTCCTACTCCCATCCCCTTTAGCCACACTTTCCACTAATTGAACAATTATGTCACTTCACTGTGTCTCCCAGTGGCAACAATCAGTTGGGAAAGAGCTTGTTCCTAGCTGCCTGCTTCTGCCCCTTCTCCTGCATGGGCTGTGGCACTTATCAGACTGCAGTGAGCCTGTTAAACTTGCTAATTCACTGTTAAACAAACTCGATGAGAAAAGTGAAATTTTTCCTTCTGGTTAATGAGTGGGATACATTTTTCAGAAAAATCCCATGACTGTCAGAGCCAGTGCAGGAGAATAAGTTAAACTGCAAAGTTGTTGTGTGGAAGGATAAGGACAAATCAGTGGAAGTACTTCTTTTGGCAGTAGCGGGCTATGGAATTTCAATTACAGAGTTACCACAGTCATTCTGTTGTTTTTTTTATTTCTTTGTGTTTTTTTCCCCCATCCCCCCTCTAGCTCTCATAGGCAAACCAGCACTTGCAAACAGTAATCAGGAGAACTGTTAAAAGTTCATAGTGCCTTTCACTTGCTTAAAAGGTGTGCTTATATTTCAGCAGAGTTTGCTATTAGTTCACCTATCTAGTTTCGTAAAGAAATATTTCATATCACTATCTTAAATCAAGGTCTGCATTTATACTTACATAGCATGTAACAGATATTCATGTTATTCAGCAAGTGGAAAGACTTCTATCATTATTAACTGTATTGCAGTCTGTGATAACAAATAGTCCCTCCTCTGCACTTTAGCCAAAACAGTTGAATAGTTCTGCAGCCTTTTAGTAGGTAGAATTCCTTATCCAGAAAAAAATAAAGAAAAAAATGATTCATAATTTGTTTTATAGAGCTGAGTGTGACTTAAGTGTGTACCTTTCAAAGACTTTATGACCCGGCTTATTAATTCTCTGTAACAGATGATTTATATAAAGTAGTGCTTATTCAAAGAAAGTGTTGCCATAAAGCAAAACTGTCCGCTTGTCCCAATGGGTAGAGCATTTTCGGGAACTGTGCTAAATTTGTCATACTCGTAGGATGATTTAAGTACAAGAGGAAAGGTAGGGGCCTAACTGCAAGGAGTTTGGGTGCCCAAATCACCTCTATGCTATGTGGGGAGAAAGAATCACTCCTTCAGTTTGCTGTTATTTATGATGCACGTATTAAATCAGAATTCCTCAGTTTGTGAATGTGACTTTTTTTCTCAAATGTTTTTGTTAAGAACATCAAAACAATATTAAGTGAAAACACGTGATTCAGGGATCAAATTTTAGTATTTGATTCAGTTTTGCTTATATTTTTGGTTGAATAGCATTATGAAATACTGTGTTAAAATGTTGATGTGTTTTGTTAATGAATTTTTAGGTCTCTTGCAGCTGAATGGGGTAAATATGGCATGAGATTCAATGTGATTCAACCAGGTCCGATAAAAACAAAGGTACATACTAGCATGGAGTGAAACACAACCTTGGATGTGCTTTGTGTAGTACAGAGTTGCTTTTAAGAAGGTCTAACCTTTTCTATAACCTTTAAATTGAAATAATATTTCCTTGGAAGTCCAAAACTATGCTGTAATATTGAACGTTACTTCCCAATACTTCATTTGTAAAATGCTGTAAAATAGGATTTCTCAAACTTTTGAAACCTGCCAGTGCCCCTTCTGCCACACTAATATAAATAAAACTCTCATCTGTCTTTAATCATACTGTTGCTTAAAAACATCCAACTTGACAGTTCGTCAAGTGAAGTGAATTCTTAATGCTTGGTGCAGTACAACTGCCTATTTCTGTCTGAGCTCCTAAGCTATAAACGCTTCATTAACTGCAAAATTTCACGGTCTTTTGTAGGTATATGACGACACAGTCTTATGAGTTTTGTTGAAAATCACAAAACTAGAAAGAGGAAAAAATAAGGTAGTGAGGAAATGTAAAGCTTAGGTATGAATGAAAAGGATTGAAGGGTTTGAAGGAGGTCGTCTGGACCAGCTGGTATAGGAAGAAAAAAAAAATTAAGCAGCACTGCAAGAAGAGAGAGGAGGAACTGTTTCACAGTGAGTCTAAATATGAAAGTTAGAAGCAGTAACAACTAATAGTGATATTATTACTACCTCTAAAAAGGTTTCACAGTTACTTAGTTTTACTGTAGTGGTTTCTGGGGGTGCTGCTACTTTTAAAAATTTTTTTCTCTTTTCAGTCTTAGATGCTACACTGGATAACTGGGATTTTATTTTATTTTATTTTTTCTAACTGAAAAGAAAGATAAGTTACTATCAGCACGATTGTAAGGGCATTGAAACAACCTTACAAGATCAGACCAAAAATCCTCCAGGCCTTGTATGCAGGGAATTCTTAGACAAGAGGTTAGTTAAGAAAAAAACATGTGATGATACTTCCTCGTTATTTTTACAGCCTCTGATAATCTATGGCATAGAGATTTTGATATAGTTGATACCTTTTCATAGTGTAATTATCTCGGTGGTTTTCCCCGCCATTTTTTGTCCTGTTTTTTTTTTTAATCCATGTAGACTTTTAGCATCTACTGTGTCATGTGGCAAGGCCACTTTTGAGTTATAGACTCTCGTAATAATTTTTGGACAGTTAACCTGCTTTAAATGTCAGTATTGCTACCTCCCACAGTTGTTTTAGATGTAAACTAATGGAGTATATCACACCTGGGATAATGTATATTCTCAATAAAGTAGCAGACTTTACTGCATTTATTACACTCTTCTGAATTAAAGTTTCTCTGAAACTGTAAAACTTGAGACCCGCTTTATATAAAGCAGGTCTCATCAGAAAATTGAGGCATTCTGCTGTGAGGTATACCCCTGTCTTTGCAAAGCACTGTTGTAAGGCATGATAGGAAAAGAAAGAAGAATACAAATGCAATACTGTTAAGCTTGTAAACTGGCATTTAAAAAAATATTGTTATAGAATACTTAAATGGCATGTGTAGAGCCATAAATTACAGTGTGCATAACTGTCATAACTGTCATAACTTAACATAAAAGTGATAACATGCTTCTGACTTTGCCTAATCAAGATGTTTCTTTGTGGAGGAGCCAGAAGGAACAACAAAAACCTTTTCTATTTTCCATGACATTCTAAGCTGTTCAGATATTAAAATTCACAGTGTCTTCATTTAGTTCTAGCTGTTGTTTCAATTTAAGTGAAACTTAAGGTTTTTGGCTTTTCAGTTTTCCTTATTCTGTGTCATGTATAATTTATTCTTGGCACTTTCCCCCTTCCTCTCCCCACCTAGCCTCTTTGTTCCTGTCCCCTGTCTGTGCAGTAGTTTTAAGGCTCGCTTATTTTCCTCAGATGCTCGTCAAGTGTTCGTCAGGTATTTCGGAAAGAAAGATTACTAGAATCCCTTTTCTTTTCATGGGTGGTTGATGAGTGACTAGGCCAAGCAAGTGTTGTTCCAGTTTATCACCCTCAGTGAACACATAGCAGTGCAACAGGAATAAATTGCCTTTTTGTTTCCTACTTTCTTCTTTTTTCCTTCTACTGACAAAGATGATGTAGTGCAGTTTATCCCCAAATGTTAGCTTCCAGATCAGATCATCCATACTAAGGAATCTAATCTTTGCCTGACTTTAATTTCTGATACAACAATTTTTTTCAAATATTTCTCTTGATTCTCAGGGTGCTTTTAGCCGTATTGACCCCACAGGCACATTTGAGAAGAGATTAGTTGAGAGGATTCCCTGTGGCCGTCTGGGAACTGTAGAAGAAATTGCAAATCTTAGTATCTATTTCTGCAGTGACTATGCAAGCTGGGTTAATGGAGCAGTAAGTTTTAATTGTTCTTGTTTATACGATCAACCTTTATGAGGGTTTGAGTTTTGCTGGCATTCTTTTAAAGTCTTAGTTATAATATGGCATTTGAGAAATTAAGCAAAACAAACTATCAATTGAAATTCCTTACAATCATGATTAACATTTTGATTGTATTTTATGGTAGTTAGTAGCTTTGAAAAAACTTTTAAAAATGACTGAATTCATTTTTTTTGAGTTTTTTTTATCTGAATCAATAAATTACTTCTGTAGTTCAGAACAAGGGAATGCTAGCAAATGTCTAAGGAAAAACTACTGTTAAATACACTGTTTGTGTTTTGTCTAGGTTATTAGAATGGATGGCGGTGAATTTGTTTCTATGGCAGGAGAATTCAATGACTTGAGGAAGGTAGTAAACTTCTAACCTACTCTTTGACATTCAGACAAATACTTGGATGTCTAATTATTATATGGAATTCTAATAAAATGCTCTTGTCTTTTATTAGGTTACCAAAGAGCAGTGGGATGTGATGGAAGCAATGATCAGGAAAACAAAGGGCTCGTAAAGTACCTATCTTACTGTATTCCTAGTGATGTTTTCAGAAATGAACCACTGAACTCACGAATGTTTAGAAACAGCCTACTAAGGAATAGCCTTCCAAACATTTTATATGCTGATTTCAGTGAAGTATTCTGAAATTGTGATAATTTGAATACAGCATGTGTATCTTTTCTAAAATATCTGTTACCAAAAGCAAATGACGGATGTTTATTAAAATTTCACTCTTCTCTGGATAATGGCTTACATAGCCATGCTGTGATCTATGGTTAGTTTACTTTTTAATATTTCAGAAGATTTTTTTGGCCGTGCAGATACATGCAAGTATTTTTTTTAATATCGTAATTTCAATAACATTTCTAGAACATCGTACCTGAACATAACTTAATCTAAGAAAAGCTAAAAGAGTAGGTTCTGATATTTGCAGTTCAGTTATAATCCCTAAATTTGCAAGTAACTTTCAGGTTGTCAACAGAACTGTATTTAGTGAGATAGAATGTAAGCTCTAATGCAGTATTTTTCACATACAAAGTTTAGAGATATAGAAGCATCTCAGTCTCAGCTTTTACTGACATTTTCAGTCTGTTAATTATCTTCTGTTGAACTTTAAAAATGGTATCTAGAGACAAAGCTTGCCTTACTGAGTAGATCTTTCTTCATCATAGATTAAGTTAAAGTTCTGGAAAGTGAGAAACTAAAACCTAATTTACTATTAATGTGTATGTGACTAGGAGAGTGTCTGCATAAGAAAGGCTTACTTAGAGTAGTAAGGGACGTTTGTAATTTGGGATGGAAAGCATTGAAAACTCACTAGCAGAGGTCTGTGGAAGCCTGGGTTCCATTAGCATTCACAGGTCGGTACTAAAGAAGCTCTAAAGTGGCGTTACTTCTGAGTCTACTAAGTTCATTCTTCCCAAGTAAAATGGGTCAACCTAGTTATAAGCAGATCACTTTAAAAAAATGCATGTTTATTGTTGTCCCTCTTTTGGGATTATTAGATTTTCCAGATTCGTGGGGGCTGCCTGTTGTTCCTCTCTTCAATCAGCAGATGGAATTCTCCAAAGAGATTTAGCTCTGGCCTTTACAATCTGAAATCCATGCCATTTTTTTCAAATTCTATTTTATCCCAAACTCTATCCATCCATGCATGCAGCCTGTGTCCATGCTTGTATGTGCTTTCAGATTGATACACAGCGATTTAAAAATTAGGAATATAAAAGCGGTTCAAAGGTGTCGTCTTTCAACTGATGGCAATTGTTTAGTCCCTGTACTCACACTTCAAGCTGTACTAACATACACCAGCATCTGACTTTGAAATCACTTGATGGCCTTAGCGCAATGTTGAAGTAAGCTAACGTTCTGCTGAAAGGATGGACTATATCAGCATAAGTTTGATAGAACATTGTTTCCAGAGTATCTTTCTCTGCATGTTTATTATCTGTAACAAAGTGAATTATTAACTGTAAATTGATAAGAAAACATTTTTAAAGCATACGTTATTCAGTGACAGAACCAAAAAGCCCATTTTAAATTGTAATGGTCATTTATAATAACGTTTCTATCCTCCCTATGCCAGTGACTTTCATTTCAGGCTAAAGAAGTCAGTGCTTACTTTTGGATCCAGAAAATTCTGTGTTGCCAAGATGTACACAATGTGTTGATGCAGGTTTTAAAAATGGCGTATAAGGAGTTACATGTTACTGGATTGTTTATAAAATATTTCCTGATACGTGATTAAGTGAAAAAACTTAGCTCTGCTCTAACCTTACACTACTGCAGGAGTAGAGAGTGTAGTCAGTCTTTGACTCATTTCCTTCCATTAAAGAAGATGTTAGATCTGTTAGAGACAGGAAAGGAGAGGAACATTGCTATGAAGAGGTGAATCTTGGACATCTCAAGTTTGTTTTACCTAAACACAGTTTATTTGTTACTAGAGAAGCATCGCTTGACATGTGAGCCTCAAGAAAATGACACTAAAAGTACCTTTAGAGTGACTACCTGGCCCAGGCAGTGTCTAGCGTGACTGTTCTTAGGTGCCCAGGAGGAAGAGTCTGTCCAGGCAGCAAAGTCCAGAAAGAGGCATAAAATCCCCCTAAATCCTGAGAGATGCCTAATCTATGAACCTCCTCAGCAGTCATGTATTGCACATACTCATCACATTTCTGTCATAGAGCATAGAGATCACAGCCACTTTATTTAGTATCTCCATTTGACACACTGTCACCATGTATTTACATACTGGCACCATATATTTCCCTTGGGACTACTACATCCCTAACCCTACCTCAAGCTGCCCATCAGCCAGATTATAAAAAGGAGTGGGAAACGAGTATTGCTGTGCAGCATGAGAATTTTATGGAGCTGAGGATGGAGAGGCAGGAAAGTGAAGGAATGGATTAGAAAAGATGATGATATACCCTGGAGATCATGAAGAGAGCCAGTGGGGTTGCAGAGTCAGTTTAATTTCTGTGGATGCTAAGGAAAACTTTTCTGGAATCCAAATCTTTTCTGAAATGACACTTGCACGACCTGTCAGTCAAAGGCATTACCGCTCCCGTGAGCTCAGTCTGAAGATAGTGTTGCAAAGGACTATTCCTTGTCTGTTTTCCAGTGAAAAGTGTATGTCTGCTTGATTACATCTTGAAATTACCCTTGTTGTTTCAGTTGCTGATTTACTGTCTCTGGACCTGTTATAATCAGCTGTATTTAATCTGTGCTGTAAAAGTGCTGCTGTATCATAGCAGAGGTTTATAAACAATTTATGAAAATCATTTGAGGTTGCTAATGAAAAGAGATTGATTGTATTATCTCTTTACTGTGATATAAGAACTGCAGTCAGTCTTTGGCTCCTTACTTCTGGGAATTTCCTTCTCTTAAACAATTCAGTTATTGTCAATAATATTATTTACCAAACTGAGAATCTGCTTTACAAGCACAAGAAAACACTATATGAGACATCTATAGGTTCCTGTCTGCCTGTACTGGTTTCCAAGTTCATTGGCACATGAATGCCTGTTTTTCTTTACTTTTTTCCACATGCTGATAGTACTCACATGAATAAAATACACTGAAATGCAAGGAAATTTGTCACCTGGTCTAATTCTGTGGTGCGTATTGTGCTGCAGTTACTATTATGTTTTTGGTTAGAGGTGGCTTTCCCTTTTGAAATTTGTCTTCTCTGCTGTGAAATTTTATCACATGGTTACTTAACCAAACAATGGGCTGTGACGTATAACCCCACTTTTATGTAGACATAAAACCCAAGTCTTTCGTCCGATAATTTAGTGTTCAGTAAAATAAAGTCCTTGATCCTTGGGATTTTAGTGCATTGGCCTGCTTTTAATTGGTGCAGAACAACTTCAGTTGATTTCAGAGGGATCTGGAGGTGCTCGGCACTTTAGAAAATCAGGCTACATGTATTTAGGTGCCTAAATACGCATTCTGAGCCTCCTTGTAGAGGTGAATTTCAGTAGGCTTCAGTAATGAAATGATTATGATGAGGGCTTAGTATAAATGCACAAGATGCCAAAAAGAAGTTAATCAGAAAAAGCTAACGTGGCCTAATGACATAAACACTTAATCCTAGCTGAAATGCAATTTCAGCAGCAGTGTGTCCATATTTTGTGAGACTAGGTTCCTCTTATGAAGAAGCAGTGCCAGCTTTCAGCCTATACCGATCTGTGCCTGACACTTGCCCAGTATAGATATGCTATCTAGAAATTTCTTAAGCTTGCCTGGGTAATGTTTTCAAAGGTGCATCTTTGATGGATTTGTAAATAGCACACTGGTACGAGCATGAAATGTTCAGACTGGAACAGTGAGGGCTTCGGTGCCACAGGGAATGAGTGCCAAAGCACGCCCTTCAAGCCCAATGCTCAATCTCGATTAAATCATCAGTGAAAAAATCAGTATCAGAAATCAGGTATTCTCCACCATGGCTGGTGGTTCACATCACAAATTTCAGTTGTGTGGTGGTGTTCATGGCCCCTGGTGTGGTGAGACCTATGAGCTACACTAATGGCCTGTGTTACAGGCAAAAGTTTGAAGCAGGCAGTCACGATGCCTAACTTTCTGTGATTAAATTAAGTTTTTATGTTTGTCAGCAAATAATGCTGCATTTATAATGTCAAAGGCTTTTAAATGGCCTAATAGTTGCTGGATTTTTTCCCCCTTGAGGAATAGTAAAATTTTGGTGCTTTGTACCTTACAATTAATAGAAAATGGTATCCTTATTTGAGCTGGGGAGCAAACATCGTGGTAAGTTTTCAGCTGTACGAACCATCTTTCTAAAATACATCATATGCATTTAAACTAAAACAGGATAAAATTTTGCATAGCAGACTTTCTTGTAGTTGGTAAAACGGTGTGTGTGAGTCTTTATTAGCTGTGTTATATTTTAATAAAATACAGATTTTCAGACAGTGAGATAGATAACAACTTGAGTAAAGTAGATCTGACATAACTACCTGAAAATCAACTTCTCTGTTTAGCAGAAACACAGCATACCTGCACTACCGCACTTAATTAACATTTTGCATGCTGCTACTTCTCTCTCTCTTCCCTCTCCCTCTCCCCCTCCCTCCCTCCTTTTTTTTTTTTTTTCCCCACCAAATGTCTACCACAAGAAAGGAGCTTGCAGCGTTCCCTACCGTCAGTTCTCTCATTGCCCTAAATCTCGTTCTGCTGTGACCCTGGCATGAGGAGCTCTGTCCAGGTGTGTTTTAGAGATTTTAAATATGTTTCTACAACAGTTTTGACTTAACCATATTTGCTATACTTTGTGTTGCACAGATGTAACACGCACCTTTGCTAGAACTGTCTTGTTACATTGCTGTCTTTTAATCCAAAGTTATACTTATGAGAAATGATTACAAGAAACATTCCACGTGGATGTGCTTGCAGACTGCTTTATGTATTGTGTTCAGTACCAGGGGACAGCTGATCAGCCACAGCAATAGTAGAAGGGTGAACAAATCTTTGACAGGTAACTTCACTCGTGTTCAGGAAGACAGATTCCAATTTTTGTGATGATTCTTTGTCAAAATACTTTAACCACTTCATCTTTCACTGTAGTGATTTTAGCAGACAGTTACTTTACATCGTATCTATTACAGTACAAGGTTTTGGGTTTTTTTTTTTACCGTTACACTTTTTAAATGTTAAAATAAGGCAAAATCCATGATTTCAAGTGCACAGTATGAATGGTAGCAATCATTTATTGTACTGATAGGCAGATAATCCTTCACTTAACATACACAATTATATTCCACATTGCATAGAGAAAAAAGGAGAACAAGCAGGTGAGAAGTTAAATCGCTGCGCATGGAGTGGGAGCAAAGCAGTGAAAGTGACCCAGCTTAATCTTACTTCAATTTTTTGCGGCTTTTCCCCCTGCCAATGCGCCTGTCCTGCCCCCACCCACTCCCTGACTTTCCCGTCAGGCCCTGCTCCTCGAAGGGTATTTTAGTTGTCAGAGTTTGGCCTGAGTTAGAGGATGAACTTCAGTGGGAGTCAAGTGACAGAATGACCTTGGCGGATCCAAGCTTCACTGTTTTGAGTCCTCTTGTTTCAAATAAAATGCACCTGCTTCTTTCTGCTTGTTAAATAAGATACAGTGATGCATTCGAGAAGTTGTATATAGCTAATCTACTAACCTGGAACGGCTTCTGAAGTACAGTTGTCTATGGAGGCAGCTTATGTTTATTGACTTAAGACACAGCATGATGTCCTTCTTACACCAGTATTCCTGGACACTTAATAGAATTGCACTGGCATAAAACTGGCGTAAAGTGAAAACAAGAGCCAGGCCAAAAAATATGGACGGAAGAAGACAGAGCTGTTTCCATACTGTAATTCCCATTTAAAAAATACCTCCCTAGCATAATAAAAGGCAGAGCCCACCATGTAAACTAAATTTGGTATAAAATCCGTAGTAGGTTTTTTGTTTCTTTTGGTGTTAGATTTTTGTACTATTATAGATTAGACATTGAAGGTAAGATCCAAGGAGGCACATTTTTTTAAAACAGTTGTTTTGTCATCTGAATGGTACAGAAAAAGAATGCGGGAGATAAACAAACTAGACACGAACAGTCTTAGGATATTAAATTTAATTACAGATTACACAGAATATGATGTAAAAACAGCAATTTACTAGAATAATTATAACCTGCAAAATGTGAAAATAGTTTAGAAAATGGATTGTCATATTCTCTGACACAGCAATAGTCATGAAAGGTACACTTATCATAGCATGTGCTAATCTGTGTATTAACTCTACTGCCTGTCATTTAGCCAGGATTCCAAGACAGATTAAAGGCTTTTATTTCTGAAGTGCCTATGTTTAAATTCAATAAAGTTAAATGATTAGATTGAAAACACTATATTTTTGTCAACTACCCCATGGAGAGCTATCCCAGATTTCTGCTGCTTGTAAATGTTTTGTCTATATGCTATGAGTTTGTAATGAGAAGAGTGACTGAAAACTGCGGAGAGCACAGACCTGTAAGTGAGTGGTTTGTCAACTGAAAATATTTCTCAATCCCTTGGCAAATTTTGGTGAACAGATATTCCTCTTTCCTGCTGCAATACGAATCCTTTTTTGTTTCCCACATTTCTGCATTTAAAAACCCGTATTTAGTTATAACTGAGAGAAGGATCTTCAGACTTTCTGTTACAGAGATCAAGAAGAAGAAATGTTGCAGGTGTCAAAGGATATGATGACCACAGCAGTGTCAGCAGGTTTAATTTTTTTCCAGCTGTTTTTATGACAGCAAAAAAAAAAAAGAAACAAAAACCAACCCCAACATGTTTTAGTTTCTTATTGAATATACAGACTGGCCCAAACATAGACATTCTCTTTATCAATCTTATAGTTACAAAAACTGTACATTACAAACAGTATAGAAACAAACAGAAAGGAATGTGCCACACATCCTGGCTAATTTTCTATATGCAATTTAAAAATACAGCCTACTCCTTTATAGTGCACAGTTATTGTGTAGATAGAGTACATCACTAGTTAAGTGGACATGATAGAAGAGGTCTAATTTTCCTCAGCACAGAGAATAAGAGCCAGTTCTGCTCGGTAAAGCTTTCCTCCATCAGACAAGGCCATGATGCTTTTCTTGTACGTTGCAAGGTTGTTAATGTCTAATTCCTATTTAAAGAACAGATAATGCTTTATAATCCAGTTTAGTTACCAGCATGAGCAAGTTTGCTGCCCATGGCAGAAAATAAATAGGAAAAAAAAAAAGGGGGCATTCCCAACCTGTCTGTCCAACATTAACACATGGAAATCGTTGTTCGTATGTTTGAACGTTATCCGTATTACAGACATATGTTAGATGATTGATAGTTAATGTCTCAGATGCAAGCGTTTGACAGCGTTGCTATATAGTCACAACTCCCTTAGGTAAGGATTTACGCTGCTATGACTTTTGCCAAGATTTCTAATTGCACTGGACTTCAGGAATTATGACTTAGAAGATCTATATTTATCTTAATTGGGTGGATTAAAGTGTCCTTAAAATCCAAATTAAATCTAATCTCTAAGGGGAAAAAAGCCCTCTAGGCTTACCTTTTTGTTCTTTTCACACAGATCCTTCAGGAGAGCATCAAGTTCATGTTCATCTATATAGCCGTTGCCATCCTGAAAAACAGTGTTAATAAGAATTATTTTTTTTTTTTTTTCATTTCAGAGGTTATGGCTAATTTTCCACAAGTTCAGAAAATGAGTGCCATCAAGCTGCTCAATTAATGCAAAGGTTTTCGGATGACTTACTTGATCATACATCTCAAAGGCTTTATTGAATTCTTTTGCACACATTTTGACACCCTAAATACCAAAAGGAAAAAACAAAATCCATTAATTACATCAATTGTGCATGCGGCTAACAGTTTAACCTTAAGAATGTGAAGCTTCATACCTGAAATTTAATGAGAAAGTTTTCCTGTACTGGGAGTAGCCTTTGGAGAGAAAAAACAAACGTCAAAATATTTAACTGTTTCCATAGCAGCAATTGGTAAATGGTATTTATCCTGAAAAGAGACAGAAGACATACCTGGCCAGTTCAGTAAGCTCCAGCTTTCCATCGTTGTTTGCATCGAACATTCTGAGCTGAGAGAATATGTATTTTTACATTAATAATTACAATTAATCAACATTTACTAAGAAAACGCTTCTTTGGGAAACTTAAATTCAGTGAACTATTTCCTTTATTTGGTTCTGGAATGATGGCCCCAGGTTTTTAATGTTGCATTTGCCATGCAATGCATTTATGTAAGGTACTGAAAAAGTAATTTATAGCAATCAACTCTCCTGCAAAAAACTCCTCAGAAACCAGACAAGCAATTCTGATTAACCTATTGTAATGTTCTAAACTGTCTACAGTGATGAATATCCCATATCCAAAACATGCATGTAGTAATTTATATAAGTGAGGGGAGTGTTGACGTGATAACGCTTTACTCTTGATTTCACAATCTGATAATAGTATCATTATTCTTTATCCTTAGATATAAAACAGCATTCAGGTAAAGCTCAACAGAATTTAAGGCATTCACTTCTTGCGATCTTATGATAGACAGAAAATAATAATCTTTTTTCTTAAGGTGACTGCCAGGCCTAGATGTATAAGGAAAGACCAGATTCTGTTTCCGTGATATATTTCAAGAAAAGAGTGAACAGATGCTGTAGATAATCAGCAAATTTTGTTGGTACTATAAAAATGGGAAAGTAAATGCCTTCAGATAATTATAATTAAATGACAGGAATAAATATAATAACGTAATTTGACAAAGCAACTGAATACTAATTCTAATAATTTTAAATTATCCTGTTGTATTAAAGTATTTTCCTTTCAGTAGTTGCAAGGATGAGCTCCTGCTGCTTAAGGGGCACAAATGGCTTATATTAGAAGCTCAGTATTAGAAGTCTCTGGAGATATCACACCTGCCTGTGACTTCCTCTCCCAATTTTATATCTGTATAGCTCCGTTTTTCTAGTTTCATATATTATTTTGCCTTTGCTGTATAAAATAGTCACAATGCAGCAAACTGTACAAAACATTGCTAGACATTGTACTGAAAAGAGCCACACTCTATCCCACCACTGTCAATGAAGTGCCCTATGGAGGGGCTCATTTAATGCCTGGGCAGAGACAGTTTTGTTGCAAAATACTCAGGGGAAAACAGGAAAGAGGGAGATGTTGTAAACATGATAAGAAACTGCTGTGTGCAGATGGCATTTGAGACGAGAGAGACCCTACAGCACTCTAGGAAGACAGAACATAAAATATAACCCCAAATTAATTTAGCTGTAAACATCATAATGTAATTAATCTTATCACCGGTACAATTTTTCTTCTATTAGCTGCAAATCCTTCACTTTTAAATTTACTGGCACAAAGAAGCATATCAGGGAAAATTCTTTGCACGGTATTATGGTATGGTCTAGTACTATGTAAAACCCGAGCAGATTCAAAATTCCTGCAAATTTTTTTTTAACAGCACTGCAAACTTTCGATCACGGACCAAAGTTCTGCAGCTGCAGAAGTACTTGCGAGGTGCCTGTGTGTTCGGATGACTTATGCAGCGTGCTTAGGTCCTGGTGGGGGTTTTTATGTCATTCGGAGCCTTTCAGCGGCTAGAGACACAGTTTGGATTAATCCCCTCTGGATGAAATGCCTGTAAATCTTACCATTATTTCTGTGTATTCTGTTAGCTTTGAGTCTTCAATCTGCTTATTTGCTTTCTGTAATAAATCTTTCAAGAAGCTCTGTTAAAATAAATAGAGGAGTAACAGGTGATTTTTTGTCTACAGTATAAAATGCTTGGCTTGCTAACTTTAAAGTGACAGGAAATACTATTTTACTCCCACTTGAGTATGACTAAAGAAGTACAAAACAAGTGTGAAAATAAGTAGTAATTTACAGTTAAGAATACAACAGTTTCTTTTGATCAATTCAAGTATACCGCGTAGTCTAATTTGGACAAAATGACTCATAAAACTTGGTGCATTATATGCTATTTGCTGTATTTGGTTTGGAAAAATAGAGTATCCTCCAAGGATACTGTTTCCTAATCAACTCTGTCAGTGAATTACATTAATTAACCTTGCAGCTACTTGGAAAACCTGGATGTTTACTCTCTTCTTGCAACATAGGAACAATTTTACAGAAAAGATCAATGATTAATCAGGTTTTCTCCCTGCCTATGGCAGTAGCTGATGCTAGAAGTGAACATGTGACCTTTGTTGCTCCTTCTCACCTTGTGCTTCAGATATGTGCAGCCAATTTCATTAGATTTTTTTTTTTAAGAGAATTTGACGTGGTATCCCATGACTTTCATCACCAGCCATTTCTCCTTTAAAGAATAAGAGTATTTCCCCCATTCACTAGTTTAAATTGCTATCATAGTTTTGTGATAATAAAAAAAAAATCTATTTATTTAACAAGAGCACTACAAGACCTGAAATTTCTGTATGTCTACCAATGCTCAATGAAGTACCTAGTAACTACTATCATTAGTTTCATTAGCATTATTGTCTCTTTGGAATTGAGGCCTCATTTCCAGGTAGAAAAGGTGGTATCTCCTGAGAAAATCTATTTCTATACGGACGACATCCTTGAAACTGAATGCTACTGTGTTAATACTCCTATTAGTGATAGCCAGTATAGTTCTCCCAGTCTGACCCCGTCTGTACTGAAAGGCCTTCTTATTAGTTTGTATACAAAGAACATCAAAGCAATATTGCAAACAGATGTTATAGAGATATGTTTAATCTTGCGTGCTTTTGATAGAAAATAGGAGTGGAAAGGACTTTGAAAAGCTATCCAGTACACCATATCTCAAAACAAGACCATCTATAGCTAAGCTTCCTGAGCTATTGTCTAGTCAGAGATATTTTCTAATCACTCCTAAATATAGCCAGTGATGGAGATTCTGCCTCCTCCTCAACTACTATTGTTATAGTTAAAGTTTTCCCATTTTCTAGCTGAATTTATCTTAAAAAATTATAAGTGGATGTACTCCTTACAGAGCATTTACTTAAAATGCTTAGACTTTTGAAGAAATATCAGTTGACCTTAAAAATAAGACTGGAAATTTGTGGCTTATTTTCAAAGTTTTAAAAAGGCCCTATTTCTCTGCTGCAGACCAGCTCTCTCAGCCCAGGATATATGAGACCATCAGGGATCTAAGTAAAATTTCTTAATTCTCCAGCTGATTTCTTAATTCTCCAGCCCTGCCTTTTAGTGTCTACTTCAAGTCACAATAGCTGGCAAGTCCTTAAGGGCCTGTGTAACAACTGGGAAGTTCTCAGTGTTATGTGCATAATCCAAAACTTCTTCCCGATCCTACAAGCTTTCAATACACCAGTTCTGTCTGAGGATTACCTTGAGGCAGGATCTTCACCAAACATCATACAGATACTGTACTCAAAGAGGAAGGGAAAAAGGAACAAATAATGAGAATTTCATGATGTGAACTCCCCTGTCTAAAAAAAGGACTGCAAGGATTTCAAGCAGCTTGACCTCCAGGTGCTCTGCTTAATGCTTAAGTAGCTCTTCTTTAGAATACCACCTATGGGCAATATAGTCCAAATTAGATGGATGAACCGTGCTAGGTCTTTCTCTTGCTATGAGTTGTTTTCAATCCTCTGAGCTTAAAGCTACAGGAACTAACCACGTGTAATTACACTGTGGAAAAAAAGTACCTTCCTACTCAGAATCTGCTTCCCCAGGTGTGGTCAGTATCTACAAGTTTTTTAGTTTTACGATTATGGAAGGAATTCCGTCTAATTTTAAGTTTTGTTAAGTCTGTAAAGGGTAAGATGGTTAACGGAATAATCTTGATTCTACTCTTCTTTGTGAGTAATGAGGTCAGCACCAAATTCCCACCAAGCTAACCGAGTACAGGCAATGCAATTCCGGTTGTGTTGACCTAACTGTAATACAGTAGAAAGAGCAGTATTACAAGATATTTGAGAGAGTATAATTTCTCCTGCAGCATAGTGATTAATGATAGCAATGCCCTTGGAAAAAAACAAAACCAGCCCCCTCACCAAAATACCAAAAGAACAGCAGAGCTTTCAGAGACCTATCTGTGTTCCCAGGGCTAAAATCATCTTACTTCTAAGCTAGAGTATCTGCTGTCTTGAGTCACTTGAGACAAACATCTGTCTGAATTAAACAACATTTTTAGAAACATTTATCAGAGTCAAGTTTCACTCAAAGTAATTTACCAGTGATAAAAGCATCAGCTAATCATATTGCCTTTCAGTAAGGTTTGAAATGCAAAAACATGCAACGGTGGGTATCTGAAGAAAGAGATAGCAGCCCAGGCTGTAATCCAATGCTTATTCGCACTTCATGCATACCCACCGATATCAGTTTACCTTAAGTTCCTCAGAGTCAATGAAGCCACTGTGGTCACTGTCATATTTTCTCCATGTCTGCAATCAAAACATGAAAGATTTAATTACATATTTATGTAAAGCTAGTCCTGAATGACTTTACAAAAGGAAAATTGTCATACTTTACCTGCATGAAATCTTCGCTTGACTTTAGCTGCTGGCACCTAAAGAACAACAGGAAATTTTCTTCTGTCGGTAATATCTGAGCAAGCTGTAATAGATTTTAAGAAAGATTAAAGTTTGATTCCTCATTGGGCTGGCTGAGCCTTTAAAAGCATATGAAATTCTTTGTGGTCAGACTGCCTTATTGATCTAAGAAGAATTAAAATTCAAGTTTTGTTACCCATTTGCATAACTATATCTTTGGTGGATATGTGGAGCCCACAGATAAGAATGATGTTACATTCTCTCCGGACAAGAGAGATTATATGAGTAAGTATATGTATAAGTAAGAGCAATTGCATGCTCTTACTCCCAATTTCCTAACACCAATGGTTTGGACTCCTTTAATCCCGCTGAAGGTTTTGGAAAACTCCTGCTCAATTGAGCTATCCCTACAGCTGGCACTTTAAGGGCATATCTGCTGGTAGTAGAGGATTTCTACAAAGTCAGGACCTTACCAATAGCTCTCTTTCCCAATAGGCTGAGTGCTATCGCTTTGGTTGCTGTTGTGACCCAAGCAGAAGTGGCGGTATGCTTCCTGCGCTTAGCAGAAATTTCTGTTCCCCAGCTTGAGGTGAGCGTGTTAAGCACTCCACGTCTAAGACCATCTCTCCTTTCCTTTCCTAGCAACCAGTATTTTTCACTCTAACCTATAAGAAGGTCCTACAATCTATAAGAAGGCCCTACAAGAAAATTCATCCCTCAGGTTGAAATTTTTGGAAGATGCCTCTGAAAAGCCACTGGCTTGAAGCTTTGCTGTATTCATCAAGGACAAACAGAACTGAAGGTCAGGGAGAAAGGAAGGAAACAGCAGTTTAGCAAAGGGGTAACTATGGAAAGAGAGGGGGAAAAAAATTTCACTCGTGAAGTTAGGATCTGTGGTGAAAACTTTGGTATGAGTGTGAAGGGGAAAGCAAAAAAGAGGGATGGTCAGAGGGTCAATGAGAAGGACCGTGAATTAAGAAAGCGAGGTAAAAAGACTACTGATAGGTACTGCATAAAAGGAAAAAGAGAGCCCTTGCTTTTACTGAGTAAACACTGACCTGAAGAACACACATGTGTAAGAAAAGCAGGAAAATAAATGTAAAAACAAACAAGCAAAAAACAAACAAACAAAAAGGAGAAAATGAAAGCAAAGAGGGCAAGGGGATGGCAACTGGTGATCATTTTTTAGGTTCAAAGATGTGTTCAATACCAGAAAGAAGTCAAAAGGGATTTTAGCCCTGCAAAATTAGGGGTGGTTCTTCCAAAGTCTGTGCTCATACAAAAGCTGTTTTTAAAATCAGACTTTATTGTACTGATTATTAAAAATGTTCATTTACTATAACTTAATTTTGGCCAGTGAAAAATGTACAAGATGGAGAGTGTGCTATACTATATAATTTAATGTAAAATCATGATTTGATTTTAACAAAAGCCCAATATCTTTTCTGTGCTCAAAGTGTATGAAACGTGTTTTGATTGAAGAAAACTTTTTACTTGAAGAATAGACCAGCTGTGCTTACTAGAAGGAGAGAATGGAGAAATAAGCATTTCTGAGCTGCATTATTTTATGAAAAATTACATCTGCAGACTTCTTGGAGCTTCATCTTAAAATTTCAATTCAAATTTCTCTTTCTGTGCATTCACTTCACACCCTAAAGCCCCTTTATCTGCCTATTTCAGCACAATTGCCCTAATTGCTTGGGCTTTTTTATTGGATTGCAGCGGGGCCTTAGGCGACTTCAGCTCGCTCTCGGTCTGCAGGCACAGCAAGGAGATGGAAACAGATCTCTAGCGTCTCTAGAACTGTCTGTGCAAGAAATCAGTTATATTCACTAACTGTAGGTGCAATTGAAAACACATATCAGAGCACTCTTCCTACAGAGATGGAGTAGCTGATTACAGACTGCCAAGCACATCAGAGAGTGTTCTGAGTGCCTTTGCTGAATACCTTGGCTGAATACCAAATCTAATCAACTGAAACAATACATTTTTGTCAGGGGCTTTCCAAATTTGACTTCACTATAGATAGAAACGGAGTATACACCTGTGGATGAGTACCTGTTCATACGTACATAGTAGCTAAACGTGAATAACTTAGTACTGGTTTATGGAAAAATTGCCTTTTTCTCTGCCACGACAGGGGGCTTTGGTTTTAGGGGTAAATCAGATCTTCCTACTCAAGAAGAAAAGTTGAACGGAGGACAGATTTATAATAATAAGCAAAGGTTGGCAGCGT